ACAAATTTCGAAAACTCCAATGTTGTGTATAAATATGTTCAAAGTATGTCTAATATTACAATCATTAGATTTTATATAACATTAGATAGCATTAGATTTTTCTCTTGCGATACCATTTAGTAATCAATTTATGCAAAGTCAATTAAATAAGTTTGATTTGTTAAATTTAAGTAAATCATTACATTTTTTTAAATTTGAAAAAATTAGATTTTAAAGATAATGCACATTCTTGTAAAGCAATACAATATTTATGATTATTTTATAACTTGAAATACAAGAAGTAGATAAATGATCCTGTTTATTCTTCGTGATTATAAATGCATATACGGATATGAGTGGATTCAGCTAGACCGGATTTCGAATCAACCTGATGTAACGAGAAAAAAATTAGAAATGTCTAAAAAGATATATAGTGTGCCGCTTTAATAGCACATAGCTGACTGCACAACGGATTTATTTTCAAATTTAGATATTCGTTCTATAATAATACTTTTACAATTCCCATTTTTCTCGTAAATTATTTTATCGTGCGTTGTACAAAGTTATTATAGGATTATCAATTAATATTTATGAGATAAATCCATTAAATAATAATCTTTGGAATTTTTATATCTCTTTTGAACGTCTGCATGATACTAAGGTAATTTTAGTCATGTAAAAAATGAGTTAATGAATGGATTTCCCAGATTATCTTTTCTTAGTTACGTTTGTAATGGACATATATTTAAGAATATGAGAAACTCAATTTAGATTGCATTGTTTGTCTCTCAGCCAGCATCACCAGCGTCACTTTTACGCGCATAAAAATTACGACCTATCTTACATCGTCAACTTAGCGTCAACACAATCAGTGGACAACTTAATATTTGATGATGTAATTTCTAATGTATTTGACAGTGCAATTTGCGATATTGACTAATCAGCCAACTGTCATGACAACTTAATCGGTTTCTTTCTTTGTTATTATTGTCATATATTAATTTGTCATACAGTTTATGTTACAAATGATAATAAAGCTTTTGTATATTACAAGGAGATATATTAAATACACTTTTATATTTTAAGTAAAATATTAATGTATAATAGATAAAATATATTTTTTAAATTAAACATTTGCAATTAAAAACATTAATTTTAAATAATCAGATAATATTAAAAAATAAGTATTTCATCTCATGTCAAATAGTTTTTTTTTTTTTTTAATCGAATTGACGCACTATACTATACTGTAAAAATCTTTTACATTTGTAATATCAACTGGTAATTGCATCATAAGAAAGGATTCAATTGCACTATTAATACTAAACGATTGTTCGCAAGGATATCATGTCTACTGCATATGTGCAGATTTTATAAATATAACTTTTATGTCATATCATGTCTGTCAACATATCATGTCTGTATAATATGGTTCCATCACATTTTTATTTTATTTTGTTATTACGTAAATAATTCATTTAAATTACTCATAATGATTATATCTTAATATATACTTTATATTTTGCAGATATTTCCTTACTCATTAATCAATAGCGTTCTTCCAAAATTATATATGTAATTATGTACGTAATAAACATATTATTTTACATATAAATATGATTAATAATTATTCAAAATTATTATAAATTATTATCAAATTGTATAATTAAGTAGTGTCTAAACAAATCTATTTCTGCACAAGACAAAAAAAGTTGGTATTTGTGACTATAATTATATTTTAAAATAATTATGGCTCCATTTTTTTTACAGTTTATTACTGTTATAATGTTAGCAATTATGTTTATAGTTCTCAAAGGATATAAGATTGACATTGAAATTGTAGTTGAATTATAATAATTGCAACTTTTTTTCTCTTGCATGAAATAAAAGAAATTTTAAGGAAATGTGCTTTGAGACAGATTATTAGAGCACAATATAATTGTATAATATAATTGTATTATATAAATATGATTTTTAAATAATGTATATCGATGAAAAATGTTATCGCCCATGCTCAAAAATTAAATTATATTAGTACATAGTTTGTAATAATGAGCTACATTATATTCGCGATGCATGCCAATCGGTGATTTTTTGCAATCGATGACTTTTTCTCATCGCCTAAGGTTATTGTTCTTGCACGAAATGCAGTATTGCCGTCCAAAGAAAGAGGATAAACTACAATTACGTAACGTAGTCACATGTCGCATTTTGAGCGAAGGTGCGAAAACGCCATGAGCATAAACAAAACAATATTATTTCGCAAAAGCGCGTCACGCAAAATCATGACACGTATGTTTTTAAGCACACCTTGTACGATGACACATGACGTCTTTCTAATCGATTTACTATATGCTGCGACGAAACATAATACTCGACAAATTAGCTCGATTAGCTGTTATTTTAATAAGGTTCCCAATTTTTTTAACATAGAATTCTATAACCATCTTTTAATTTTAAATCATTGTTATGCACAAATAAAAAAAATGTATGCATGTACAACATAGACATAATATAACACATGTTTTATAAAAGTTACAATGTTAAATGCGAAATTATAATAGTGATGTTATATTATTTTTAATTATTGTCGACTGAATTGTTATTACGCACCATTTATCCGGACATAAAATTAATTACTGTAATATAGTAAAATTACGATTGCAATGGGAATTTTGATAGCAATAGATTAAAGAACATTTATCGTGAGAAAATAATTTATAATGAGAAACGTGGAAATTTATATAAAATTAGTGATAATTAACAGACTATAAAACATCGAAAGCGTGTACTCTATATTTGAACTAGCTTGAAAGGAAAAAACATGAATTCCGTTATCACAATGTCAAGAAGTAATTTATACGATAGAAGAGAGTCACACATATAATGCAAAACTAGCAAAATAATATGCATTAAATTAAAGACTTGATAATTATATAAATTAGTAAGATGTAGATAAGAAAATGTGCAATGTCTAATTTGAATAGATAATAATTGTATTAAATAGGTCTATCATTTTGCACACATTTACTCGACAGCAAAAAATCATTGAAAAACTGAATAGATATTATTGAAGGATTATATTTTAAATAAAGTTTCTTATTCGGCGCAAAACAGCAACGAATTGTGACAAAACTGATTTCAAATTTGCATTGTTATTCTGAACGTTTGATTTTACGTAATTTTAGGTTTATTGCATGAAATATGCTATTGAATAAATTTTTCTATTGCTTTTGAGTTTATATTTGAATTTTTATTTTTGCTATAATAATTTATTTGTGTTATACTTTTGTTTTTTTTTTAAATTATATTATAGTAAAGAGCATGAAATTTATATTTGTATTCCTTTTATCAAAATTTGTGGAATCGTAACAAAGAGTAGGTAGTAGAAAAATTTAATACTTGTTTTAACGTTTTTTATAACTTAATATTGCTAAATATATTATTTTATGTATACACTCGCACTTTTATAACTACTTTAGGCTTCAATTCGTCTATTATTTTTTGTTACTACTATATTCACATCGTAAAACTTTTTTCTTCAATTTGACTCATCTAAATCATTTCCAATAATAAATGCAGCAGACTTACGCGCACACAATGCATGTTGCTCGTTCATTGTCAATTCCATTGTTTCCGAGAAATAGCTGCACTCCATAAACGTACCTCACCATTCAGCTTTCAGATACAGCAGTGTTTCGTAACGTCCTCAATACGAGGATTCTTCTAATTACAATCTGTAAAAAATACCAGATACGTCACAATCCTACATATTATTATAGGAAAAGAACTAAGAAGATAAGAAGAGAGAACACCAGGTAATAATAATTAAGCTGACATCTTTTGACGTCAAAATGACGACAAATAACGTCAGCTTACCTGATAAGGTACAGTCCTCAGTTATGCGTTTATATTATATTAATTATAAATATGATTAAATAATATAAAATATTCCCACGCTCTTTCCCACGCTCATTATATAGAATTCTCTGTAAGATGTAAAATTTAGTGTCGCGCTTGTTTTTGCGTGGTATTCCTTCATTTACGCGATCACGAAAGATTGTTGAAGCAAGCTTGAGGATCCAAATATTATAAAGCACATACCTCGTATTTATATCGTATAGATTTTTTTTATCAATGCTAATTCAGTCTTCCTGCTAATGATATCGTGGAATTATAGCTTTACATTCGAGACAATAAACCTGATTCCGACGTGAATAAATTCGACGCGACTATGGCTCGCGGCCATGCTCGGCATCAGGTAACTTTTAAATTTATTGAAAGCACCAATCATGTTTCAGACAGATACGCGCATGCGTAATACTAATGTCACGTTATTGCGCTTCATTTTCATTGCAACACTAATGATTACGGCTAAAGTCCCGTATATAAAAAAGAACCTGACATCGAACTCGTATCAGAGACTATATTTAGGAAGGAATTAGGAATAAGGAATAACGATTTCAAACTATCAGAAATTGGACACATCGGAATTGATGTGTCCACAACACGATTTCTGATAGGTTGAAATCGTTATTCCTTATTCTTTCTGGCATCTTCTACACTTCTCTCAGCAGCTAATGAGAAAAAAGAATTTGGACGTTTTCCGTTGAATCTGCAATTTTCATTAAAATAATGATTATAATAATGTCTAAATTTTTTTTATTGTTACTTCTTATTTTTATAATAAAATAATCGTATAAAGATAAAACAATATATATCAGATTTAGACTTAATTTATAAAGTAACGTATTTTGATTAACTTATCAGTAAATTATACATTCATTTCTATCAATTTTTGTCTTTTTATCTTTTTCTAATTCTAAAAATTAGGAAAAGATAAAGAGAATAAATTAAATCGAGATTAAAGTTAATCTATATTATAATCATTATAATTCAAGTGAAATTGTTTAAGGCAAAATTTTTATTTCTAATCTTTTTTTTCGTATGTTAAATAACAATATGGATTAATAATTCTAACCTGTTCTATCTCAGACAGTTCTAACATAATAGTACAGATATTTGCTACAGTTGGCACTGCAATCTGTCGTGTGTTACAGGTTGCAGTGTGTTTGTTAAAATTCTCATCCTTTGTCGAATATAATTAATCAAAAAAAATGTCAGCGTGGAGACAGGCAGGATTGAAGTAAAGAAATTATTACCATTCTCCGTATTTTACATATTTTCTTGATATATGTCAAGTACATGATATAATCTTACATTAGAATCGCATTATGTAATCGAATTGTCATCTGATCGTTAATTAACGTAAAATTTCATTTTTATTCAATGTTAATTGTTATTTGTGGATAACGAAATATTTTAAAAGTTGGAGAATATATATTTATACGAATTTTCTATTCCTTCATCTCTTGTTACAGTTACATCAACTACTCTCAAATTGCAGCTAGGTTAGTCAGGCAAGCCTTGAAAGCCGACTTGAGGGTAGAGGCTGTTAAACGCGACGAAGTTAATGTGAAGTTTACTCAATGGAAAGATGGGAAACCCATCAGTACGTATATCTTCGGATTTATTATTTCATTCTCGAATTTATATTAATGAAGAGAAATGTAATCTTTGCAACGATTCTATTCTGTCATCATTTATCATATCATTTCTGCCACTATTTCTTTTTTTATACACTATATTTTGTAGAATTTATATATTCTTTATTCTTTTATTATACTTTTGTTATATGTACAATATATTTTGTTACAGCTGAAAAGATGTGATCGTAATGATCAGTAAGTGAATGTTTGGAATCTATCATTAGAAAAATGTTTTTTGTTTTAATAATGTCTTCAATATTAATAGTTTTTAATGCAGGTGTGACAATTTATTTTAAAAAGCATTTATTTGCCTTTGCAATTGATGATTGTGTATAATATAATTAGCAGTTTTCCATTACCTCTTATTCAGCGAGAAATGACCAATTACATGTTGATTTAACATCGAAATTATCAATTCAACATCGATTCGATATCTGTGTTATTTCTCATTGAATACTGTGTGTATAAAAGGATCTAACAATTATTCTTCATGTTTCATATCCATATTTCATAATTTTAAATAATATACTAACAGCACGAAAGAAATGTTCTTGTACTCAATATTTATTCTTTATGTTACAAGATATTTATTATACAAGTTGAATAGATATGACCTTATATATGTAACAATGATTAAAATTCTTTAAAGTCAATTAATATTTTATCTTTATGTTTATTAATAAATCTTATCCTCTTTAAAATTTATAATATTCATAATATATATATATTTTTTTTAATATATATACAAATATTTTTGTTACAGAAAATGCTTAGACAATATCACAGATGGATGCAGAATTCATCCAGTATATATTTATAGCCATAAGTATATGTGAAGATCTCCATCTCTATACAAAATAAAAATATTCTTCGCACTGTCACTTTTTTTTTATTTGTCCTCATGATTAATTTTTATACCGTCATCTTACAACAGGACAGTGTGTCTTGCAGTGAACTAAAAAATAAGATGCATTTATTTTTTACATGACAAAAGTACTAGTAATTTTTGAACATCATACTTACTAATAAATTCAGAAACTAGATCGTTTTCATTTTCTCCACGCATAGTTCCAGTAATCTCTTCATTTTCAACCATTGGCAAAAATAATTGTACAAATTCAGCTGTATATGGAGGGGCTATCGCTTCCAAGACCTAGCATTATAAATACATCGTAAAATATCGATATAACTGGTATTAAAAAACAGTATTGTAATTTACCTCAGTAACGAAGTATCTGATTAAAGATACATCTGTATCTCCACGTTGCCAACATTGCTTAATATAGCATACAACTGGTACTACGCAACCTCTACTCAGTAAATTCACCATTCTATCGATTAACATCTTTTTCATTTCCAGCTAGACAAAGAAAAAAATTGTTCATATAAAATATCGATAGCTGTTCTAATTAAATCTGTTAATTAATACATGAAATATGCTTACTTGTACAAGTATCTCTAATTCGTCTTGTTTGCTTTCAAACAAGTGCACAAGTAATCTTAGTATTTTTGGATGCAACAAAGGATGGCAAGTTACAACCTCGTCCAGTAAAGCGAGGTGTACAGGGCAATGTTCTGTACATAATTTGAAATATGATGGTTCAGTCACAGTGCACTCTACCCATCGTATTATACCCACGCTTACAACAGGAAATCTGTAATTTATTAGTAAAAATGTTTTTTCCCTGACATGAAAAAAAATATCCGAAATCAATAGTTACCGTATGCATTGATACAAAGTGTGCAATTCTGCTATTAACTCCGTCGAGCCTTTATTTACATTACATATATTATGCACTTTCTCAATTGCCTGAATAGTCGTTTTCAACTCATCCTTATTAATTTTGCGAATATTGCTTTTTTTAGGGATTGTTTCACATACACTTGCTGCATAAGCTAGTAAATATATATATTTTGATTTGTGTTCAGGATTTATCTTTACGCCGGGTTTAAAAAGCGCATCGACCAGTAATTCTACAAGAAAGAACACAAAATTTTATTATAGCAAGTTCAATTCTTTGCTTTCTTAGGAAAGCTAAGTGACTTAATGAAACAGTAGCTTACTGTTAAGGGAAAGATCTAGATCTGGATCTGATTCTTAGTTCTATCTCTACATATAATACAAGAAATGTTAATTAGAAAAATATTCCATTAACTACATTTATATCATCATTAATTGGATCCGAATCATCACCATTTAATAGCATCTGTAATTATTAACTACTGATATAAATGTATAAATACTAGTAAAATTCAATTTTATATCATAAAATCGGACTTAATTGGCGTTTATATGACATTTTAATTAATAACTACTAATGTTATAAACATAATTAATGGTGTCATGTAAATATAGTCAATGGAATATTTTTCTAATTAACATTTTTTATATTATATGCAGAGGTAAAACTAAAAATCGAATCTAGGTTTTCCTCTTAACAAGCGTCTGCTGTTCCATTAAGCCAACTAGCTTCTCTAAGACATTAAAGAATTAAATTAGTTATAATAAAATCTGATTAATGATAATGTAAACGTCATTGTAAAATAACTAAATCAAAGTAATTTATAAAATAATACAGGGTTGGCCATATTCGACGGAAAGTTGTTTTTTTTTTTCAATCATGGGAAACGTCGTTACTCGATCTAACATCTCTGTCAAAAGTTATAGTGTTGCCAGATCTTTCCGTCGAATATGGCCAACCCTGTATATTGATTTTATTAAAAATTATGATACTTCGATCCAATAAAAAAAGAAATCTATGAAAGAAGAAAACTAAAATTTTTATTATTATAAATAGTTTTTAATTTACCTAAAAATTGTGGATTGCGCAATAGTTCAATAGGAGGTGACTCCGTTGCGGAATAATTTCTGAATAAAACTGTGATATCAGCGGGATTTAAGCTGTTTCTTGATAACATGGATGCTAGTGCTTGACATGCTCCAGGACTGCTAGCAGCACCATTTAAGGCCATTGTTATCGGTGTGACATCATGTCGATCTTGTTGTGCGCACTTGGTGATTTCTTGGGAAAGTCTTTTCATCATGAAACCACCACGGGATTCTTGCGCAAGGATTTGCAACAAAACTTGACTGTATACATAAGTATGTTGACCATGACACACCATTTTTGCACATTCTTGTATGCTAGACTGCCAGTTTTCTGTATTTTGAAGAAATCCAGCAATTGCGGTCTTCAATACACGTGAAAAGACTTCAATTTGCTGAGCTGCAGTTGAAATGCTTGTAATTTCTCCTTGGAACCCAGCATCAGATATAAGTTTGATGGTAAAGTTTAACATTAAGCAATCTGGATATTCCTCTGCAAGCCTATAAATAAGGGATCGCCAAGTAGGATGTTGTATCATTTCAGTTAACCAGGCAGGAGTTTCACCCTCTTCCGTAAAAATCTTGTCTGCTTTTTTAGGATCAAAATTTTTAAGTATCATATCTTTCAAATTATTTTCGACCATTGCTTGCACGTCAGTGACTTTTACTCCAGCAAGAATCAACCATTCTGCAAGAAGGTTCGCCATCTGCGCACAAGCCGTATAATTTTTGGACAACAATTCTATAACTTGTTCAGGATTGCCTCCAGCTTGAAAGTATCTTTTAAGTTGGACAAAAATGCCAGGTTCCATAATATAATCAGCTGTTTTAAACTTATCCAAGCATTCATTCAATACTTCCTGTGGATTATCGAATGTATCTTCGCCACTATATTCATCAGTGCTTCGATTCCTCTCATCTCTCCAACCACCATGGTCATCATCATAATCAGTCTCCATCTATACTTTAATTATATCAAACATTAATATATTAATGCATATACAATGTATGTTGCATAGTTTTCTAAAATTTCAAAAAAAAAATTTCATATTAACCATAAATTCAAAGAACTTTTCGTCATTTCAAATAATACAATTGTATTCTTACATGTATGTAAATAAAATTATACATATAAAAATACAATTATTTATCAGTCTTTCTTATAAATAATCATATAAGTAATCTTTAATTTGTATAACATATTTAAAGATAACAATATAAAACATATAAATATATAAGTTAAGAAAGATTATAAATTTATTCTTTCTAACACTTCTTTTCATTTCTTTCTTCAATATGGAGAGAAAGATAAGAAAGATAAATCGTGGAGAAGTTTAAACTAAAAAGAAGGTTTTATACTTATATATATAATTCATAAAATAGTGAACATCTTTATACAAGTTCTTTATTTCCAAATGTAGTCCACAAGTTCCAAATAAGAGAAATATTTATCTATAAAACATTACCAATAAATTGAAGAACATTATTATTTACAAACCTTTCTTAAATAAGGCAAAATGCCACGCTATATATGAATCACACCACACTCGACTGTACCAACGCTAACCGCGTCGAAACGTGGCCAACTACCAACAGTGCTGATACTACTGATTGTAGCGATTACACTGACTACTAACAACTACTCACTAATGGCAGCAGGGAGCTTTCCAACAAGCGACATTGGTGAGCTCTTTTATCTGATTGGCATATTTTGTTAAATCCTAAAATAATCAATTAAGTAAAAGAGCTCCCTGAAGCTAATTGCGCACCTACATTCATCCTAAGTTTTTTTATATTCTCGAAATTTCTTTTCTGAAAATACGTGCATGATACATCAAGTACGAGAGAAACAAAAAGTCCAGTCTCGCTCCTCCGATTGGCTGGACTTGACGAGAGCACGCCACGCGCGCGTCACGTGAGCAGGGCATGCGCAGTCAAGCGTGATTTGAAGGAAGCCTACTGGCGCCTCGGTGGCGGTCTTCGTGATCGGAGCGCGGCCATATTCCCTCTCGTGGCTCTCTCTCGTTCGTAGGAGGTAGGAAAGGTGGTGCGCGGTTCCGGCGGTGACCGAATTTCCAGGGAGGCGATGGTTGCGACGCGCGTGTGCGTTTCATAACGGTCGTACAGCGACGAGTGCAGGGAGTGAGAACGGTTAATCATGCCCAGAGAAGGCGGCAATCCAGCCGGCAGGCGGCCGTCGTCGCGCAATGCGAAGCCCTACGATGCGAACAACGTAAGTAGCCACTTCGTCACCACAACGAGCGACTGCCGCAGCGTACCTGTGCCCGTGACAGAGATGGGCCCCGCGCCCTTCACGCGCCCTTTCGTCATCAGGGTAGCCCCACATGCCCGCCGTTGCCCTACGACGTAGTCCCCCCGCGCAATGTCCACGATGTCACGGTTATGTGAGTGAGCCCGATGATAACCTCAATTTTCTCCCCGTGTTTCGCGTGTCGCGCACGAATTGTCGTAAAACGATCTCAACGAACGGCAACCGCTGAAGTGCGACTCGAAGGTGTACACTCATCCGTTTCATGTAAGCCTCCGGGAGTTTAAGAAACGCGAATTGTATTCGTCTGTGCGTCTCTCTCTTTCTCTCCTTCTCTTTCTCTCTTCCTGGCATCCCCCCTTACCGAGCATCGCGCGCTCTGCGTAGGTCTTCGCGCGAATCTTTGCGGTTACGTTATGCGGTAACGCAATTTAAACTGTAGCTTGAAAAATATACTTATGCTTACAATCTAATCAAATGAAAAGTGTAAACTCGATAAAATTTACAGTGTGATGTTATTTTTACATCAAATTTGTAAGATTTTTGCTATTTCTTTTTATTTAAAAATATTTTAAATCTTATAGAATTTGAATATTTTGATATATTTTTATGTTGCTTGTGATACGTTTGAGTTTAATGCTAAAGAAAATATCAATAATTGCGATATAAAATGTTACAATATTAATTATATAAATTTACATTAATATACATGTATTCATAATTTGTTTATTTATATTCTTTACAGTCATTTGTAAGAAAAATGGCAACCAAGGTGACAGATTTTA